CACTTCACCAGACATCAAGTAGAAGAGGGACTCCTCGTAGTGAAGAGGGTATCGGCAGAGGAGAACCCAACAGATCCTTTTACGAAGGGACTGAATAGGGTTAAGCACCTGCAACATGCTAGGAGTATTGGGCTGAAGGACGACATTAGTTTTAGTGATTAGATAGCTTTCAGAAACTTGTAATAGATAAAAGGTAATTGACATTTGATGGTTAAATAAAGGAGTTTTATTTATAAGTAATGTTACTGTCTTGTGTCAATTGTTTGCTGTTGTTTCATTTTTTGCATGTTTTGACTTCCAGAATAATAAGATTATTCAAATTATCCACAGTCGATCATACTTTGGAAGTAGGTATTGACGCAAGACTATCATGAATTGGCTTGTAGATTATCTAAGCGTTTAGACATAACAAAGGTTTGTTGCAACTTTCATGAGTGCTCTTGAAATAAGATTTGATTATTGGATTAAACCCGCGCTCACATGAATCACTTCATGGAATTTATCACGAGTGATTGTGAGACAATAATATCATATAGTCTTTAAACCGAGATATATGAGTTGTTGTTTACAAATTGGTTGTACATTGATAATGCGTAAACGCATCAGAAACTTGATGTTATAAAACGTATTGTTGTGACCATTTAATGATTAAATAGTACAAGCATATAAGTCAAAGTTTATTTGTTTCTTTTATCCTAAGAGGATTAAAAGAGATATCTTGGGCCCCTCGATGATTTTGTTTTGACTTATGTGTCGGGCCCGATCAGGACTAAATTGATGTGTTCAATTAAGTTCTATGTCATACAAATCAGAAATTGGGAAACAAACTGCTGGACAATAAGTATGACTATGTTCCATGTATTTGTCCGCATGATATCTTCAGAACGAAGGACTACATGATCCCTTATCTATAGGACGTGTCAGAGTTCGACAACGGCTTTTGAGAGCTACGTTTGCTAATCGAATTTTGAATTCGTACTTGCATTTATAGTTATTAGACTTATCTGAGTGGGAGACTGTTGGATTAGGTGTCCAAGCCCATAACTATATTTGGTATCTACTTGACCCGATAGTAGCATGGTCTTTTTAGGTTTCCTTCACCATAGCAACTTGACTGGATTAAGTATGGAGTAAAAGGTTAATTATGATTTATTAATATATTATAGGAATATTATATTAAAAGAGGAATCATATTATTTAATTAATATTGGTGAAGAATTAATTTAGACCTAATTTTGTGGTCAAAAGAGATTAATTAAATTAAGAGGACTGATACTGTAATTATCAGATAGTTACAAAGTTGGGGTTAAGGTCCCTAAAGAAGGGATAGGCAAATTCTATGGGGAAGCCCACATAGAAATCGTCCATAGGGGCCTTCTGGAAAGATCCTGTGGACTGCTTGAGGCCTAAGCAAGTAGATTAGGCTTTTGACTGAAACCCTAGCAGCTCAGCTATATAAGGAACCCTTGTGATCTATTAGAGGCATCACAATTGAGGTGCTAAGTTCTCAATGGTTGAAGATCAAGCAAGCTACAATTGTAAGGTAACATTTTAGCCATGTATTATATGTAGATTTCGATATTGGCATGCTAGTTTAGGGTTGATAGCTTTGGAAATATTTATTTCATGTATAACTAGAGAAAAACCTAGATCCAAAGCTTTAGGGTTGCATGTGTACCATAGGAATGATGTTATGCTCAAAACTCATCACTAGCAACCACCACTACTACCCGTCACCATCATCCACCACCCACCACGCTCCCCTACCTCCACTAGTATCACCACCCATCGCGACCCTAACCCACCACCTACAATCACCCATCACCACTCGCCACCACCACCCACCTATACAAATGATTATATGTATATCCAATCACATGTGATTATATTTATTTAATCACATATAATTTATGTAGACAACATTATTTGTTGTGTTCTTGATTCAGTAGTTGTTCTCACATATTTAATCACATGTGCTTATTTGTAATTAATATCACATGCTTTTTTTGTGGAAAATATTTGTTTTCGTTGTTCTTGATTCAATAGTTGTTGTCCTATATATAATCACATGCGATTATATATATATATATATATATATATATATATATATATATAATCACATATCATTTATATGGATAGTATTTGTTTTCACGTTGTCGATTCAATAGTTTTTCTCATGTAATGTGATTATATGTACTTAATCACGTATGATTCATATGGACAAAGAACAACTATTTAATCGATAACCTGAAAACGAAACTTGTACACATAAATCATACACGATTAAATACATATAATCACATATGGTTGAATACACAAGAACAACTATTGAATCGAGAACATGAAAACAAATTTTTTCATATAAATCATATGTGATTAGATATATATAATCACATGTGATTGGATACATAAAGTCACATGTCATCAGATACATAAGAACAACTATTGAATCGAGAACTCGAAAAGGAATCTTGACTACATAAATCATATGTGATTAGATAAATATAATCACATGTAGCTATATGTATTTAATCACATATGGTTTATGTGAAAAATATAAATTTTTGTGTTTTCGATCAGATAGTTAGTCTTATATATTTAATTACATGTGATTATATATATATATATATATATATATATATATATATATATATTGTTGGATTAGGTGTCTAAGTCATTAACTATAATTGGTATAAACTTGAATTGATGGTAGAACAGTCCTTTTGGGTTGTCTTCAAACATAACAATTGAAAATGATAACTTTGAGAGAGAGAGAGAGACAGATAAGAGAGAGACTGATTTATTAATTTATTATATGATTAATAAATTAACTAGAAATCATAATAAATAATTTTTTAATATATTATGAGAATAATATATTAATTGGAAATAGTATTATTTAATTAATAATTAATCATAAATTAAATTTGAGATTAATCACATTAATTAAAAATGCAGGGTCTGTTTGGTTGTTTATTGAAAGTTGAGGAAATGAGCCCATGGACCTTATTGGATGAGGTGGACGAAAATCACTTGGGCAAGCCCAATGATTTTTCATCCAAGCCCTTGGATGATGAGGGCATGGGCTGTTTGGTCACCAAGCAAAGCGATTTAGGTTTCCTCCTTAAATCCTAGCTTTGGCACTAAGTTAACTCAGCTATATAAAAGGGTCATACCCTTCAAAATTTCTACACTCCTTCCCCTAAGAAGACCTGGCCGGAAATCCTACTCTTCTCCTCTCTCTCTTCAAGTTCCTTGGTTGCTAAGGTTCGGGTGTGAACCATCAGAGGCACGATACTTGTGGTGCTTGTTGCCAAAAGTTTTGAAGAAGGAATTCAAGATTGTTTGCTATAACAATCTTCAAGGTAACTCTTCATTGTTATGAATTAGTTTTTCATAGGAAAATTATTGTAGATAGATAGTTCATAGTATGTTGCCTATATGTGAAAGACATAGATCCTTATTAGGTTGCATGTGCCCTTATCATTTAATTGTATAAATGTTTTTCCGCTTAGAGCATTGTTTTGTTACCTCCATAACCCATCATATATTTAATTAAATATGATTTATGTGTAAAAGATTTGTTTTTGCGTTCATGATTCAATAGTTTTTTTATTTTATTTTTAGTTGTGTTTAATGACATATGATTATATGTATTTAATCACATATGATTTATTTAGAAAATATTTATTTTTACATTGATTCAAAAAAAAATGGCAGTGTTTAATCATATGCGATTATATGCATTTAATCACATATGATTAATTTGGATAAAAAAACAGCAATTGAATCGAGAACGCGAAATCGAACTTGGTGCACATAAATCATATGAGATAAAATACATATAATCACATGTGATTAAACACATGGAAACAATTATTGAATCCAGAACATACAAATAAATATTGTCTATATAAATCGTGTGTGATAATCACATATGATTAAATGAATAAAAAAATGTAACTAAGCCTCATCACATAATATAAATTCTAATAAAAGTTATAAATACATATAACTTTTAAAAATATTTTTATTTTCAAATCGATTTCGTTTATTTAAAGATTATCATATTATGTTAATTTATTTAAATATTATTAAGATTGGTAAATATTATAAAATGAAAATTTGATGAAAGTTTTATTATGTAAGTAATAACTATTAATTTTTTTCCAAGTTAATCTAACTTTTCTTTTTACACATCTAACATATTTTAATTAAATATTATATTATTTAAAATGATTATTTATATGTTTTCATATGATTGATAAAATTGATGAATCTTTAGATTTAATATAATATAATTTGTTTTTATGTCTTTAAATAAAATGTTGTAAATATTTATTTGATTGTGTTTCAAAATGCAAATGAGAATGTCAAACGTTATTATGATTACAATCCTATAATAATATTCTTATTTTAAATTTATTATAACATAATCTACTGAATATTAAAATAATGCTTTTATAATAATAAAATAATATTATTTTTAGGAGGATACGGTCATATAGATCAGGGGTGCAGATATATAGAGTGCCAAAGTCACACGATAAGTTTGGGTAAAGTAATTGTTGCATTTACTCATGGCATTGATATGACCTACCTTGCCTCCATTTGACCAGATGTGTTATCGTTTCAAGAACACGCTATTGTCACCAGATCTCGAATCAGTTTCAGCTCATCATCAACAACATAGCGAAAGAGGTTTCAGGTAGCTGATTGCTCTTCCGGCGACATCTTTCTATCTGATGGCTCCCTCCTCCAAAGAAGCTTTCTTCTCCGGCGAAGTTGGAGATTCAAATCCTGTGGATGACACTCGTTTTGTACTAACAAAAGCAACGAGAAAATATCAAATTTCACCATTGTGGTTGAAGTTTCAACAATTATCAATAACTATCAGTCCTTGCTATCATCTTGCAGCGACAAATATGATGGCCTCTTGGCTAGTTCCGGTGAAAAATTGGATGAACGCTCGTGAAAAGGTTCAAGTCAGGGTTTAGGTTTCAGAATTGGTTTACGAATTGGTATTGGACGTGAATGATCTTTTCAGAGCCCTTCCTGATTCGTTGCTTCCTTTCTTCTATTCTTCGTTCACATAGAGGGAGGTGGAGGAGATGAATTTTAGTGAAAAGGCATAGGAGGCAGTTTCCGACGGTGGTAAGTGAAGCGACATGATGACAAGAAGATTCGGAAAGAATGAAGAGGCGCTGATCCGGTGGTTTCGACAATATTACTGTGGTTCTGATAACGTTACGGTGGTTCCGACGACTGTCTTGTGGCATCGACAACTGTCTGGTGGTTTCAATGGTGTTACTGATCGGGGACATTCGGTGGTTTCAATGGTGGTACAAGGTATAAGAAAGTGGCTCTGACACTGATCGGGCACTTTTCATGGTTTCAATGGTGGTACAGGGTATAAGAAAGCGATAGTGTATTGGTGGAGTGGGTAGGTTGGTGGGATAAGATATCTTTTTTTAAGGATTAAGTTAATAAATAATAAATAATAACTTTTTTTTATTAAATTTTTAAATTTTCAACATTTAAAATTTGTGGTTGAAAATTGTTTTCATGTGTTCTCAAATTAAGAATTGTTCTCATTTGAACATACACACACTCACATATACACATATATATATATATATATATATATATATATATATATATATATATATATATATATATAATTTAATTTAATTTAATTTTACATACAAATACACACATATACCTCATTTTTTACCTATTCTCTCATGTTTTACACAAATAAAAATCACTTTTCGTTTCAACAAAATATGGAGCAAAACCCGAACACCTCGCCTCCAAACACAAAAACATTTTCTCCGATGAGGTTCGCACAATACGAGAGTTATATGAACCTACTCAACACAAATTCACCACAAATATCGTTTCAAGGGAACTTTTTTAATCCCAATTCACACCAATGCAATTTCCTAAATCCCCTTACATGCAACAAAACCCAAATCTTCTACATAACCTTTTCAGTACTTTCGCCTCCATGTAACAAATAATTACCCAACCACCGCCCACACAATCAACGTAAGAAAATTTTCCCAAAACACAAGCATGAGGCGGTCTGAAAGGGTGAGGGAAAGGGAAACAGAAAGGGAAGGCATTCAGGACAACTGAAGAAGAACCTCCACTATGGTGGACACCAGAGGAGGAGTAAGCGTTGGCGGTGGCGTGGTGCAAAGCGAAGCGCATTGAACGTCATACGGATGAAGCTGATAGAAGGGTACAAGAGTTGGCGGAAATGAAAGCAAAGTTTGACCAATACAATATAATCGCACAACAAAAGGTTGATGTGCAACGTGAGCACTAGGAGTTTCTTTGTAAGAAAGCACATGAAGATGAAATAACGAAGGATTTAACAATTCTACAGACTGGCGAACAAAATATAGCACCATGACAAGTACAAGTGCTCCGAAAGATGAAGGAGATTATCAAAAAGAAATACATGGATGACTAGTGTATCATTTTTACGTTTTTAGAACTATGGTTGTGACATCCCAAAATTTAGGTCATAGAATGTAAACAACTAAATTACAATAAATCTTTTTGTAATTTAACTTATTGAGTTTTAGTGTGTCTAATATGAAATAAATGAATTTATTTCAAATATTAGAAGATATCAAATGATACCTTACTTCCAAATTTGTAAATTGTCAAACCAATCAAACACCTCAAACTGCAACACTAGTTAATGCGTCTGAAAAAACTGAAAATTCATATTAACTAGTTATGAGTGAAGCAAACATTAAAACCTTATACTACATGTTCCTCTGTTTCCGAAAATATAAAGAACGTCCAAAATGGAGTTCGTATGCAAAGGATACGACCGTTTTAAGAAAACAGATAGTAAAACATTGGTTTCTTTAATCGCGTAAAACCGTTGAGGCAATTACACACCTCCGATGGAAATTCTGGAAGCGTTTTTGAACTTAGGCTATGACCTAATATTTAATTTCATACTAAAAATATTTTTAGCAAAAATATTTGCAAAAGTCGAAAATCGAGCGTTACAGGCTATTTAGACGAGAAATTTTAAACGCGATTTCCCGGAGTTCCGTAACTCGAAAAATTAATCCGTTTGGGTTTTTGGAATCTATGAATTCAACTCTATTTAACGACATGTTTGGAAAAAGTTCTCGACATCGGGATCACGATGCACTCGATTATGTGTGTTTTGGACAATTTAATGGATTAGGCCATCATGTGGGACCCACTAGACTTAGCGGAAGCAAATCATAAGCCATTTCTTTTGATGCCCACGTGCTTCTCTCCCTTCCATCATTTCCTTACTTGCATACACTCTTCACCAAAAGGTACCAAACATGGTGAAAAGTATGACTATTGTATGCATGTGTGTGAGTTCTCTAACTATAAAAGGAGTCATATACAACCACATTTCACCACAAATCATCAGCTCAACCACCTCTCAATGTCTCCCTCCATATCTCTCTCTATTTTTCTTGATTTCAACATCACCACCACAACACTACCATCCATCCACCACAAAACCACAACTTAAAACCACCCTTATACCTTCTTCTCTTGATTAAAATACCCCAAGCACCTTCTCCACTATTCTATCTCCTTCCCCTCACCAGAAAATGTCAAGAAGAAGGAAGAAACGAGTGACAGCCACCTTGCTGCCACCCCATTGCCGCCACCCCGCCATTCACTGCTACCACCTTCAAAACCCATTTTCGGGGAGGTTATCAACTGTGGGACCACCGTAGAGAGCTGCCTCCAGCCTCCTCTCCCTTCGCCTTCATCAGGAATCAACAAAAACCGACAACAGGAGGGTGCCGACCTTCCATCATCACCAAAGACCCCCACTGCTGCCCCTAACCACCGTTTGCTGCCACCTTGCTCCACCCTCTACTTCCTACTACACATTGTAAGTCCACCATCTTCGTTTGGGATTAATTCCAGTCGATCGTAAGCTTAAACAAAGGCGTGATCAATTTTTTTGTTGCATCATCATGCTTGTCGAACACAGTGGAAGGAGGAGGATGACCTCCTCCACTATGCAATTTTCAATTCAAATAAATTAAAATTCCCCCTCAATCCAAAATCCTTTAAAAACTTGGTCCAAAGTTTATTCAAATGCGACAGTTTTTACCCCAACTCAAAAACCCTTTTTCAAAACGTATCCTAAATAATAATAATAATAATAATAATAATTTACTTTTAGAAAATATTGATTTATTTTGGTGTAAATAAAATTTATTTAAATAAATTTTGGTTTAAATAAATTTTAGTTGAAATAAATCTTTGTTTAAATAAATTTGAATAAATTTTAGTTTAAATAACTTTTAAATTTTGGTTTAAATAAATAAATGTTTAAATAAATTAAAAAAAATAAGTCCTATATTTAGATAAAATATCAAATAACCATCCAAATGTTAATTTACATTGAAATTTTCTAGAAATCTAAATTAATCTTGGAGTTTCTAATTCGCGGTAACGCTTTTCGGTTTCTCGCATTCAATAATCGAAACAACTTAATAACCGCACGTTAAGGTGAGTGTTACGACCCCTCTTTTATTTATTACATGTTTTGGAGGAGAATACATGTGCAATATAGTATAAATTCATACATAATCCACATAAAATATTATTATTTTATGCAAAGACTATACCGGTTATGAAATAATAGTTTGATTTTATATATCGTGAATACATAATTTGTTTCTAACATCAAGATATACATATGTTATGATGTTAGGATGTTACAACTATTAATATAACATATACTTTGTCACAACAAAGTTTATACAAGAAACATACTTAGTTATAAAAGCTAGTGTCTTATAATATACATGCATACAGATTATGCTTAGCCTTTATAAATTCTATACAAATTCATTATGCCTAATAACTTATCCACTTATAAGTTAGGGCTGATAGATTTTTTAACTACCTTAGTATACCCACACCACTATAACCGTTAATCTTTATAGCGAGATACATATGTATAGATCTATACAGGGTTGGTATCCCCACTTGCGGTTGCTATATACAACCTCGACTGATCAATCGAAGCAGGTGATAAGTGTCTACAATCGTTACTATGGCGTATAATGAAGCAACGTAGGGGGTGCATATAGTCACATAGCTCAGTTATAGGACTCACTATAAACATTAACTAAACTCTCTCTCGCTCTCTCTCTCATTACAAATCAAGAATTTGGTTGATCTCAAAGCTATTTTTAAGTATGGATTTACTTATGATACATTCTGAAAATTCAAATCTTATTTACAAACACTGTTTTGATACTTACAAAGAAAATACTTTTTAAAAGTTTTAAAAGTATTATACTGCTATTACCAGAAAACCTGTGACTCTCACCAGCCTTGTGTTGATTTTCAAACTACATGTATTCTCATGAAGTGAGTGATTTCAAGCATTTCATAAATTGGCAAAATCATGGATTGCAGGAAATTTAAATTCTAGTTTTTGTTATGTTAAGCCTATTTGTTATTGGAATTCAAGTATTACTATTTGTGAGAACAAGATCTTACTTATGCGCAGGGACAAGGTTTGAGAACTCAAACCTTGAGTGAATGCTTAATCTTTTAGAAAGCTCAGAGTTGCGTGATAAGCTCCCATACTGATGTCATCCTTTCTATTTTCTCTGAAGTAAGCAGCTAAGGTGAGGATGTCGTTCGGATTCATGGAAGGAAAATCTGCATCAGTAACGGTCCGGGGAGTTGGCTTGTTCCGGAGGAGGTGAAAATGGAATAGAGGGTTGTTCAGTTCGAATTTCACCAAGATTTTTCTACTGAAGCCCTGAACTTTGGTAATCCTCTTCCTCGTCCATACTTCCTTGAGCGGTTGAGCATGCTTAGAGTAGAAAGTTTTAAGTCTTACTCTCTCAGTCCGGATGATGACTTGCGGATCGTCTGAAGGATGAAGAGGGACAAACTTGGTATAAAATTTGCTGTACGAAGAGAGAGGAAGATCTAGATGATCGGAGTCATTGGTGGGAAGATCATAGTAGAGGCACATAATGATTTCTAAAGACTTGAGGATGCCTTCACGGCAAAGAGGAGAGATGCCACGCATTGGATCAGGATTGTATTTTAGGGCTTGGATCCGGATGCTGTCCTCTAATGCCTGATTGATTTCCTCCTGAGACCATCCATGTTTGTGCTTGAGAGGAGGTCCGAAGGGAAGGACTTGTTGTTCGACAATCATTGGTTTCTTCCCTTTGTCTCTTTGAAGAGCATTTATGACCATCTTCATGTTTTCATCAATTGTAAATTCCGGAGTGGGAGTTAGAAGTGGTTCTTCCGGAATTTC